CCTTTTTTAGTTCTTTCAGGGATTTCAAATCATTTTATATAATATCAGACAATGTAAGTCCAAACTAATGAAATTCATCATGAAACATTGTCAATCACCTTCAAACAAACCCTAGAAGATAATGTTTGCCAGATTGTGGGAGTTTCGTGAGAAATATATAAGGGATGTCATCAGTCCCAGAGTATGACCTTTCACTTTAGATAATGCCTCATCGAGTTGGTCCATGGTTATAACGACATTTAGTGAATTTTCATTGTCATCTTCAATTGAAAAAGGTTTAGCGTCTATGACTTTCCCCATTTCTGAAAAGTTATTGTCGAAGTTGAAGTCACTGGACTGTTTGAAATTGTCAGCTAGAATGTTGTTACGATCTCGTCTTCAACAAGGGAGAAATTATGTGATTTCCTTTCGACCTGTGTTGGTTCAAAGTGCTTACAAAATTTTTCCAGGTTTCCCGTTTGTTTTGCTTTAGAAAAAGTCGCTGGCGAGCTCTGAGTCTATTGATTTCGGCTTTGTTTTCTTAAATCTATTAAAAGAACGTTTACAGTGAATTGCCAGACATTTGTCGTTCCACCATGATATTGGATAGTGATGTGCTAATTGTGATTTTTTTCTATGGCAGTGGATGCTGATTCAACTACAATTTTGGTGAATTTCTCCACCAGAGTATTCTCGTTACTAAAATTTGGGGGAGAAATATTTGATAACTTAGATTCAATGAGATTCGAATATTGAGTCCATTTGTCATGATATACACTCTGGAGTGTACCCATGTGGGATGATATACTGGTGTCTGATTTGAGATTTCATTACTTTCAATCATGATTGGGAGATGATCCCTATCGTATGATTGTGATGATACTTGCCAAGAGAGCGACGTAGAGATCATTGGCATGCAAAAGGTCTATAACAGAATGGTTGCCATACGTGCTGTTGATTCTCGTGAATTCCCGATTATTCCGTATAACGAGATTCGAAAAGTTGATATACTCCACCACAAGCTTTAAGTGGACTATTACTAATTTTATAGAATGAATTGTAAGATTTAATTTCGTATGTATAATCAGTTTTGAAAATATATTTCTGGATGCATATTACTGTGAGGTTCTCCTTATTTATTAGAAGTTGAAGTATTTCCTGGTGAGAAAATACTCCATTTATGTTCTATTGAAGAATGAATGGTGGTATTAAGAAAAAGTAATAGAGAAAAGGGGGGGTCAGAAACTTCAGTAGGTTTCTTATGAGATGTCGCTTTCATTCTCCGAAAGGAAAATATTTCAATTTGTTTCAAGTTCAATAAGTTTCCAGTATTACAGTAGGTTCATTTTTCCTTTTGTCTTCGGTACTATCGGTGGCAGGAATGTCATTAGCTGTTTCAGTGCAGAAGGCGGCTACATGACCATCTTTTTTACATTTGAAGCAGGTTAACTTGTTTTCGGATAGAAAGATACGGTATGAAGTGTTTTCGAACGTTATGACAAATGATTCTGGGAAAGAAGAGGTGTCGGATTGAACGTACGGTTGTAAAATGCCGATTCCGAGAAAGGTAATAGAGGATATAAGGTTCAAACCTAAGTATATAAGGCTATTATTATCAATTATGGTGTGGGGAATTGACGGATAACATTTGATAGGATCAATCGAGTTGCGGGATTTATTAACCTCCGTGATTTCAGTAGTTGTTGGTTCACCTCTATTTCACCACCTTGTTGAAGGAAAGTATCTACAACTGTGAGACTGGAGAGGTATATACAAACTCTGTTATTGGAGATTCTAGAGGAGATTATATTTTTAGGCTGACCTTTGATTCCGATGGCAATGATGTACAACTGAATTTCAACTCTCTGGATGGAAATTTGAAGTTTTGGACTGCAGTGGAGTTTGAGTTGGATTGAACATTATATTGACTATAGTAAAACCAATAATGATTGAGAGTAAAGCGCATTGTCATATCTAAATTTTACGTTACCAGTTTATAGCAGAATCAAAATATAGTAAGCAGTAGAGTTGTAGGTTGTGGCAAATTATAAATAATACACAATACTAGTACGATTAAAAGGTATTATTTATGACAAAAATCAGTAATGAGCTTGTAATGAGTAATACTTATACATTTCCTGATTACTGATCAGTTAAAATTCATTATTTTCTGTATAGTGTTAGATATTTATTACAACTAGTGGCA